TAAGTACCTAATGGGAATAGCTTCAGTTCCTAAATCAAAACGTGAGCTAAACTGTGCATACATTCCTGAGGGACAATTAAGGATTACAAGTGATAATTTCGTTTATTTTCTTTTCGAACGCTTTATTTGCGGCCCTGATCATAAGATCACAATTAGGAAAATAACAATAACATTTTCCCAATGGGTCGAAATGATATCGAATTATGATCGCATTGCTTCTTGTGTGCTGGAATACGTATTTCAAGTTATGGACTTTTAAACGCAATTTTGTGAAATGCCAATTGACCAAACTTAGCCTCCATCATTGGACGTTAGCCATGGTCAAGAGTTTGCCTCACAAATTTTACGAAACACATAGTGCGAAATTTTGAAGGAAGGCAGGTTAAAACAACCAGTTACGATAGCTGAGGAATTGTGGGCCAACAAAGAAAGAACTTTCAATTCACTCGCACTATCCATCGATGTTATGGAATTAGCAAAAAGGTTTTACGATAACTTATTTGCTTGTTTATTATCTTTTAAGGTAAAATCTGATTTACTCAATCATATCCGATCCATTCACACACCGTCTTGTTCAAGAAAAAGGAAGATAGATGATTCCACAAATAAATATAAAATGATGAAGAATTGTGAAAATGCATTGGAAGTGTTTAAGAAAGAGACTCTTATTCCTAGTGAGGTAGCATCAGGAGATTTACTTATATTCTTTGATGAAACGCATCCAAATGGAGTTCTCATACAGACAGACAAACCAGAAGGTATCGATCATATTAGACATGAATTAGAGAGATCAACACTGAATAAAGATAACAGAATAAATGCTCCTAAATTAAGACTTCCAACAATCATACTATTCGGAGTGGATGAAGAGATTGAAGCGGATGAACTGGGTAGTACTCTATGCCGACAAAACCCAGAAATAGAGGAGGAGCACGTCAGAGTTATTACAGGTTTGAGAGCCAAAAACAAAAAGAAACACTGGTTACTTGATATTGCACCGGACAGCTTCAGTAGAATAAGATATAAGGGTAAACTAAACTTGATCTGGAGTAGACAACTTTGAAGAAACCTTTCGAATTCGACTATGTTACAGATGTGCTGGAATTGGACATGTCGCGGCCAACTGTAAGAACATACCCTCCAACTTATGAGGATTTTGAAAATAATTCTTTCTAGTGGTAGCAAACCAAAGAAGAAATTTTTAAAGCAAATGGATCTCTCATAAAACTTTTATCAGAACTTAAGAATCTGGCCATATGGCCTGCACTTTTATAAGTAATAGTGGACAAGTTACGCTAAAATTAATTTTTTTTAAATATTAAGACATTAATTTTGCTACCGTCTGAAAAGAAGATTTCTGAAACTACGGAAATTCCGTAGCAGTTGGAGGGTATNGATAACCATACACGCCTCGCTACAGCCGTCTATTTATTCGGATCCATCCGCCGTTCAGAGGGCGATGCTCAGCATACGCATGCGCTACGGGTCTGAAAATCTAATCATTTGCATATTATGCTCTACTTTGCATTTCCTGAAAATTTCAGCTCACTCGCGTAAGTCCTTCATGGTGTTGCAATTTTCACAAACATGAGTTTACATTGCGTCATTGAAAAAGCCCAGGTTCAAACCCTGATCCACTGTTAATTAGGGCTTTATATATTCAGGAATTTTGTTCGTTTTTTTTGTTGGTTAATTAAGCCAGAATTTTTTTTTATTTTTTCCCTGATCAAAATGGTACCAGAAGTTTGTTATTATTTTTATCAAAAAGAATTAGAATGTTATTCCTGGTCAAAGAAACCAGATGATATATATATAAAAAAATAATGATTCAAATGAATTATTAAATAATTAAATTGTTTTGATACTCGATCGGAAAAATTATTTGCATAACCTGTTTAATCCTGGTTGAATAGTCTGAATATATATATTAATGCTTACTAAAGTAGATGATTTTTATAATTTACCTTCTTTACTTTCATTGTTATTTTAAAATAATAATAATTAAGTATCTTTTGATGCAATACAATTTTTTTTGTGTGCTTTTTTTGAGAACATTTTTTCATTTTCTAAGTGTATTTAAAAACAATTGTAAGTTTATTCAAATATTTTCTTTCCCAAAACAATTTTTGTATGTTACAATCAAATACTTTAAGATTGTGTTGTTATAATAGTACGTAATTATTATAATCTTTCATAATTAAGAATGCATTAATTAATTAACCACTAACTATATAAACGAATAAACAATACAGAAAGTAACACGTTAAAACTATTAAAAAAAATTATACAAGATTCTTCAATGCACTTTCCTACTCAATCAAAACATAAATTTTGTGCACTAAATATTTAAATTCATCATATAATATTATAATGTAATAAAAATTTAAAATTAATGAACACTACCAATCAATTTTTAACTTCGTTTATCATAAATTTTGCAGAATCTTTGTAAATGAGGTTACTATGAATCGTATTTAATGTGCTTCACCATACACTCTTTATAAACAATTTTTAATATACTTTCAAATCATATTTTTTTAATGTTATGTTGTATAGAATTTATGAAACTTGACATTTTATATGACTATACTCAACAATACATTTATTTAACATAAATTGCAACAATGTTATGAATGTATATGCAGTTAATTTAAACAAGCCTTTCAATATTATTGCATTGGTACATTTCTCGATTGTGTAATTATTTCGAAATGAATATTTCGAAAATAATATTTCGAAATGAATACCACATTGCTACCATTGTGATAGAGCTAACAAAAAGTATAGACAGCTGCTTGAGGTGGACCACTCACCATTCGACAAGGAGTGCCAACAATATATAAGAGCTCAATTTATAAGAGCTCAAAATAGACAGATGAAGCGAACTACATATGAACAGTAAGAACAACAGAACTATCAATATTGGTCATATAAATTTACATCACACCTCATCCGCTAAACTCCAATTAAACAAGGACTTTAAAAATCTGGACATCAATATCATTAGTATGAATGAGCCTTATTACAATCAAGACTCAACAATCACCGGATTCTCAATCAAAAATAAGCTTTACTACCATAAAACCTGCCACGTTCAGCAATTATGCTGAATTGAGAGGTGATAAATGACTTCCCGGTGCACATATCAAGGGACTTAGGAGCTGTCAACTTTACCTATGATAGTGTGGAATACCTCTTCATATCTGCCTACTGTTCTCCGAGCGAAAACATTCTGGACAACCAAGGAACAATTGACTCTCTTCTAAGTAAAAACATCAATGCAAGAGTTGTGCTTTGCGGTGATTTGAATGCCAAATCTGTAGCATGGGGACCGAAAAGTGACCACAGGGGAGATATTCTTCTAGACTTTCTCATGAGAAATAATCTTGATGTGGTAAACGATCCAGACGGCCGGAATCAAGAAAAGAAATCCCTCCTCGGCAGACCAAATATCTAGGAGACCCAGTCGCATTTAACAGTGCAAACAATAAAAGTTTCTGCAGAACAAAAGTAGTCTGCTACAGCTGCGGTCACTTTCAAAGAGATTGCTCACTTAACAGACCACGAGAATCACCACAAGAGAATGCGTCCTCTGCTGTGACTTTAGCTGCTGGAGAAGTGATGAAGAGGCCTTCATCATGGACTCAGGCTGCACTCAACATATGTCCTCTAGAAAAGAATGGTTCACCAGACTTAGACCGCATACAGAAGTTGTGAAATGTGCATCGAAGGAGGACACATTGGAAGTAACAGGCATCGGCGACATCGAAGAAAAAACGTCTGATGATAAGGATATAATTCTGAAGAATGTCCTTCTCGTTCCAAGAATTAACGGCCAATTAGTGAGTGTAAACTGCATTGAAAATGCAGGTTTTTCTATTGCTTTTGAAGCTGAAAAAGTTTTTATAAATTCTGAAATAGAAAGCCAAAAATTAACCGAAAAGAGAAGCAACGGTCAATACACGTGTGATTTATTCCTATTACAGCAACTGCCATGAGTGTTACTGCACAAGAGAATGGAAAATTATGGCATCGACGCCTGGGACACCCCTCCGTCAAAATACACAGACTTTTGAATCTCCCTGTGTCTAAAGAATTCTGTGAAATTTGCTGCACTGCCAAACAAGCTGCTACTCCAATGGGAAAAGGGCCAAGAACCAGAAAAAAGAAACCTTGGCTGACAATTCATACTGATATTTGTGGGACAATTTTCCCGACCACAGCATCTGGAGTGAAATACTTTATGACACTGATTGATGGCTACAGTAGATTCACCGAAGTTAAACTCCTGAGAACCAAAAGTGAAGCAGCAAATCATCTTTCTAAAACTGCATCCATCTGTTAAAAGGATTAGAAGCGACAACGCGAAGGAATACTTTGCTGGAGAATTACTGACTTATACCAAAGAAAAAGGAATTGACCTGGATCCATCCCCACCTTATACACCAGCTTTGAATGGCATAGCAGAAAGGGCAAACAACAAATAATCTATGTCAAAGTACCATTTACGTTATCCTACTTCCTTGTATGTTTCATATAAATACCTGAATCTTTTAATATACCATACATTAGTTCTTAGTTCAATAAAGACTATGTCGCCGACCCACGATTTCTGACTCTTTCTTCATACCGTAATCTCAACATACTAACCACTAGCTATACGCCCGCAGGCCACCCCTGAAGCAGCCTTGACCCTTAACGAGAGCCAAGTAAGTGACGGCGGGCTTGACCGTAACCTCCGAGAAGACAGAAGGCCATGACGGCTACCGCCGAATCTTTGATGACTCATAACCAGTCGTCTGCCTTCCATCAAGCGTAATCTCGATCGCAGCAACTTTGCGTGTTGTTTACTTATGTATACAGTGCGATAACTACGATCATTTTCGAGGAAATTATCAAATTTCTTGTACTTGTTATAATTATTGAGTTTTTTTTTTGTTAAACTTTGTTATTGTCTTGCTTACATTTTTATAATGTTGAAATTTCACAATTTTTACTGTTTTTAAACATCGTTAAAAGATTTCAGTGTTAGCTATGCCGAACCGTTGTTGTGTGCCTGCTTGCAAGTCTAATTATACATCAAAAACTGTCAGTGTCGAGTATGTCAGTGTTTTTAAACTTCCTAGAAATGAAGAAAGGAAGAAATTGCGGCTGCGTAAAATCCCTCGATAAAACTTTACACCATCTAAACATTCAGCGGTGTGCGAAAAGCATTTCATAAATCATATGATCATCAGGGAAGATTTCACAGACTCCAAAGAAATCACTCATAAAATAAAACGAGAACGCCCTATTTTAACTGAGGATGCATATTTGATGGATGCCCCCCTTATTTGAGTGATATAAAAACTACTCAAAGATCCAGTAGAGATGAAAAAAGACTCAAAATGGACAGTGAGTTGATTTCAGCATTTGCGAAAGATGATCAGACTTCGAATTTTAAAGAATTTGTGAATAAATTTTCTGCAAAGATGAAAAACTTTTTGCGTAGAGAAAATCTGCTTGTTTACCAAGCTGAGTCAAAGTTTTTTGTTCTTTATATGAGTGATGATCCTTCTTCAGTTGAGTTAAAAAGTATTATAATTGATAATAATATGAATATAAATATATACATAATGCAAGATCATTTGGATCTTAAAAAGCACCTGCACCATATTTTAAACAGCTCGACTAAAGTAAGTTTATGGAGTGAACTAGAAAATGTATGCAATTTTATTTATAATTTTTCTGTAGAAAATAATGTAGAATCCTCCAAGGATATGTACTCTGCCGCTGTTGAAGTATGGGATCAGTTTGTGCAAGCAGAAGTATGTGAGGAATTTTCTTTTGAGGTGTTCGTTTCGGAGAAGTTAAAGCTTCACAAGAAATCACCAAATAGTCGAAGGTATAGTCCTCACTTGACAACGCTAGCCTATTCCTTGTACATTAAATCGGCTGCCTGCTACGAAGAGCTTCGTCAAAGCCAGATAATTTATTTGCCATCTATTAGACATCTAAAACGATTAACTTCCTTCCTCAGCTTGTCACCCTCTACAAACAATGTTAATAATGTTAGTTATTTAAAAAAAAATCCCAAAGCCTTTTACCTCATGAGTAAACTGTGAGCTTATTACTTGATGAAGTACATGTAAAACCTGCTATTTCTTACAAGGGCAAAGCTTTGTATGGTTTTGCTGAAAATGCTGTTAATACTGAGGCAACATCAGTTCAAGCTTTCATGGTTTCTTCAATATTCAGTACATATAAAGATATAATTGGACTAGTTCCGGTGAAAAACATGAGTGCTTCAGATTTGACCAATTTTACCAAAACTGCTCTCTCGGTGTTGCATGGTTCATCATTCAATGTGCTTACTGTCATATCAGATAATAATAGAATTAATCGAAATATGTTTCAACATTTAAAACTTCAAGCTGAGGATTCAGTTTGTATTAAAAATCCTGTGGATAATTCTCGTCCCCTATTTCTCTTATTTGATTCTGTGCACATCGTAAAATCCATACGAAATAATTTACTAAATCAGATAGATTCAGAAAAGACATTTGTGTGCCCAGATTTTGAAGATTTTACCAAAATCGTGAATGTGAAATTTTCGTTTTTACGAAAAGTTTTTAACATTGAACGAAACTCGATTGTTAAGTATGCCCACAAGTTGTCTTTTAAGACAACTTATCCAACTAATATTGAGAGACAAAATGTCAACCTGGCATTGAATATTTTTGATGAAAGTACTCAAGCTGCAATTCAGATATATGGGGAACAAAACTGTTTTTCAAACTGGCAACCTACTGTTCAATTTTTGAAAACAGTAAAAAAGTGGTGGGATATTATGAACATAAAGAACACTAAGAAAGGTTTCCTTAAACGAAATGCTGCTTCTTTTCCATTTCGCTCTTTAAGTGATGAAAGGTTTCAATTTCTTGGAAATTTTCTTGCGTGGTTAGATGCATGGAAAAAGTTGAAACTGAAGCCTCGCTGTGGATGTTTGTCAGAAGAAACCTTTTATGCCCTCACCCAAACAACTCGATGCATGATATCCTTAATTGAACATCTCTTGAACCAAGGAAACTCTTATGTCCTCACAGGCAAGTTTCAGACAGACTGTTTAGAGTCTAGATTTGGCATTTACCGGCAAATGTCTGGTAGCAATTACCATGTTTCGGTAATTGATGTAATTGAAAGTGAGAGAAAACTTCGAATCAAAAGTATCCTCACTCTGAATTCAAGCAGTTTGGGGAACATTTTCTTTCGCAGTTTATGTGGTGATGATACTTCAGGTGACGTTGAAGAAGTGGACATTTGTGATTTCAGTGATGTCTTGTGCGACTTCAACGTCGATGTTAGTTGTGATGAAGTAGAGATTCTTACATATATTTCTGGTTATTGTGTCTTCAAATTAAATCTAACATGCAGTATGTGTTTAAAACATTATGTAGTTAATCATAATATTCTGATTGAACCTAGTGAGATTCACTTGGCACCTATTTCAGAAAACAAACCCGACTCTTTTATAAACATCGTAAATAGAGGAGGATTAAAGAAACCCTCAAGACTAATTTTAAACATAATCATTCATGCATATAGTATTTTTAAAAAGCTTTTAACTTCTGAATTTGAAGAAAACTTTCAAAAGTGTAACATGCCACAACATAAAGTTCTTGTAAACTTAATTAAATTTTATCTGGAGAACAGTGATTTGTTTTCACTACAAGAGAAATGTGACATTTGTTGAACTGAATTGTTTAATTCTGTTTGTAAAATTATGACCACCTTTAGTAACATTTGCTTAAAAAATTATACTAAAGTGCTATCTGACAAAAATCTTGTAAATTTACGAGAACAAAAATTAAAAAAATTCAAACCTTGTTAATTTTTCAAGCTAAAAACTGTTGTGCTTTTTATATATTAGCTTTAAATTTGGTATATCTATTTATTATCAAATATAAGGGCTGAAATTTTACATTTATTTTTAACTATATACTTTGAGGAATGGCAGAAATTTCCTGTCCAGAGTATGAGTTAGTTCAACATACATTGATCTGCCGCACTTTATAGAGAATAAAAAAGCAGTTGTGAACGTACAAAATAATGACGATAACTGTTTTATGTGGGCAATTCTCTCTGCTTTGCATCCACAAAGTGAACATGCCTACAGGACTGCAAAATATGAAGCATTTACAGGTGATTTAAATTTTACTGGATTGGAATTTCCTATGAAATTGGAAAGCATTGCAAAATTTGAGAAACAAAATGCTATTTTTATCAATGTGTACAGTTTCACTGAAAAATATATTATTTAACCTCTTTATATAATGAAAAACGAAAAAGATTTCCCTGTAAACCTACTATATGTAACTTCTACAACAACTTCGTATTATTGTTGGATAAAAAATTTATCACGACTCTTGACATTGCAATATTCCTCTCACAATGGAAATAAATGTATTTGTCGAAGGTGCTACAGTNACATTTGATCAAAGGTCGGAAACTCAAAACAGGACCGTCGCAAGAGAGAAATAGAAAAATGCTCAGGTCCAGCTCGGGGCCCCGGGTGCGCCATGCCCGTCACACAAGAGTGTGCCCCTGGGGGGGTATTTGTCGAAGGTGCTACAGTTTTTTTCTTTAGAAAAGAATATGCGTGACCATAAACTGAACTGTGATATTCATGATGCAGTGCGAGTTCTCATGTCAACAAATAAGGATAAATGGATTAATTTTAAAAATTTTCGAAATCTACACAAGATTTATTTTTCTTTTTAAGTTAATCCGACTTTGTTTTAAATATTCCATTTTTTTCTTCTTTGCTCAGAATGATATTCAAACGACGGCATATTTTAACAAAATAGAAGAGAGAAATTATGTATGTATAGATAAAAAAAATTATATATTTTATGTGAAAGTGTGTGTACAAAAAACAATCTTACACTATAATACGAGGAATGGTTGCCAAGTCGAAAATCGCCCCAGAATTAATAAACTCCGGTAAACTTGGGGGTCTGGGGTTTTGGGCCACGAGGAATCGATTGGCGAGGGATCGATTTCAAACTTTATTAGTTCGCCATAATGGCTATAGATGGCAGTACTTAAATTATTTTCTTTGTCTATTGCCTAATAAGTTTCAAGCGGTAACGTGCTGCCGTTCGTTAACTAAAAAGATTCGTTCTTTTTGATTCGTTCAAAACTCCAATTTCCAAATATTCGAATTTCCAAAAAAGCATTTAAGGAACTGATTTCGATTTCAAATCACCGTCAACAAAGTCCGACATTTCAACATTCATTAGATTTCAAGCTAAATTTTCAACATGTAGAACGCACCTCTACATGAAATTCTTCAAGGAGCCGGAATTTTGGAACAACAAGCGATCAACTCAATTCTACCCGCAAATGGACAACTAGAAGATACCGTCATTGTCAGAATGCTTCTCCATTACGCCGAACAAGCTTACCCGACCGTCAAAGTTGCCGCACTTCACCCTGAATTTGTCGCACGATACTTCGATACCTGTTAGCTTCGATACCTGTTTTCTCCGAGCGGGGCTCGGTCACCCGCTGGTATTTCAAAATTACTTTCTCGTTTTTTTTCGTCGAGTGCAAAAAGGCGACGCACCGATGTCGATAGTTCAGAAAATGTAGAGAATGATGTTGATGTGAGGTTTTTTGGATAGTTAAATAATACACTTTTTCCAATAAATTTATTTTAAATGATTTTGTTTTATTAGAATCAACTACTGTTTGATCTTGTGGAAAGGAGGAATCGAACAATCCGCAACTATGAAGGCAACGAAATAATATATGATGTTAATTTTTTAACCAAACCAACGGGTATATCGTTGCGAAAAGTGCAAGAAGGAATTGACAACCTGTTTCAACGACTATTAAATCGGGCAACAGAAAATTTGAATCCCCACGATTTAATTAGAATTGTTCTAAATTCGGTTAGCGATATTGCGCCAACAAAAGATTGTTGCTGAAGTAGAGAAGGTTGCACAGTCCGGTACAGATATTAAGCTTGATTCAACGCTGAAAATCGGCATAACTACCATCAAAAGACCTAAGGGTGGCGCTCGTACAGTTGTTACAAATCTGGCAATGAATAAAAAATCTGTTGTTACTATAACAAACGACGACCTACTCTGTTGCGCTCGAGCTATTGTTGTGGTTACAAATTGTATCAATATCCTTACTGTGTTTTTACACAGTAGCCCTTGAATTTGAGTGAGACCACGCAATTATTTATGGAGAATTCTATGAGCTATAATCAAACTGGAGATGGGCATGAGGACCCTCAAGAGGGTCCATCTTCCAGTTTTTGGACACCGCTTCCAGTAAACGGGTATACAACTGATATGAGAATTAGTGTCTTGTGATTGCAACTGAATTTTATTCTAATAATTTAACTCTCAGATTCTATTTTTAATGATGCTTATTTTTAATCGTAGCTCAAGGATGCCATCGTACTTCTTGAAAATAGCCGGCGGACAAATGATTTGTATGGAGCGGTAGAAACCAGCTACACTGCACTCATCGACACAGACAGGTTGCCCGCATACGCGAGGGGTGCCCTCTTAAAGGACGTTGTCGACGTACTGGCGGCGTTAATTGAGGTTGTTTTGGAGAAGGCGACTCGAGGGTTAAGTAGACCCGACCTTATTAGGTTTTTACTTTTCCACGACAGGTTGGATCGTCCTATCTCCACTTGTTTAAAGCCAGTTAGGGATATGTCTGTGGAGGCGTTTCTTGCCTGCATCACCAAGTGTTGCAGTCGAAAGATGACATCGCTCTGGATGAAGGTTTTAAAATCAACGTGGTGAAAGTGAAGAGAGAGGCGGGTGCGGGGAGAAACAGACGTGTCATCATACCGGACGTTGACATGATTAAAAAAAAGTTCGATTATAAGCATCAAAAGAAGCGATTTCGACATTTGCTGTGCAATGGCATTATTGCTTGGGAAAGCAATTATCGAAAATGATCCGGACTTACCAACGTTACGCAAGCAGTCTTGCAATTTGTTGGAAAGAAGAGCTCTTGCTCTTCATGCTGACACACGTGTCCCTGAAGCACCTTGTGGAATCGAGGAGATCGCTCTATTCGAGAGGCACTTAGATATACAAGTGATAGTCATTAGCACAGATAAAATGAATCAGGTGATTATATTTTTATTCTGTATTTTTTTCCATCTTAGGTTTTTCTTATTTTAAAAAAAAAGAATATTGATATATTATTGTCTACATTTTCTTATACGTTTCTCTTAGGACTCTTACAAAGGCAGCAGCACACGAACGAGAGAGGTCTACTTATGGCTCAATAACTCATATTATGACCTCATTCGCTCTCCGAAAGGATTTTATGCGAGTTTTTGTGCTACGTGTGCAGAAGGAGCCTNTTGATGCACACAGGCCAATATGCACCTCCCGTTTACCTGAAGCACGGGCCAAAGCAGTGTATTGGGGTACCAAGATGCCCCTCAACTGCCAGGATCCCCTTTTCCAGGGACACGGGTCTCCACGCACGGCAAACACGCGGGTGGTTTCTTCCCATCTGGGTCCGTTACTACAGGGTCAAAATCAAAACACAGATGAAAAGCCTTTACCAGCAAATTCGGCAACCACGACAAGGGGGAAGAAAAAGGGGAAAGTAGGAGTAAAGGGAGAGGAAACGGAAGGGAGGACAGATCACTAGGGTACCCCGGGGCGTGACTCCCTGTGTTTATCTAAAGAAGGTAAACCCCCTCAGGGGGCCTTGTGGAATCAAGGAGATCGCTATATTCGAGAGGCACTTAGATATACAAGTGATAGTCATTAAGCACAGATAAAATGAATCAGGTGATTATATTTTTATTCTGTATTTTTTTTTTCCATCTTAGGTTTTTCTTATTTTTGAAAAAAAAAAAAGAATATTGATATATTATTGTCTACACTTTCTTATACGTTTCTCTTAGGTCTCTAACAAAGGCAGCAGCACAGGAACGAGAGAGGTCTACTTAAGGCTCAATAACTCATATTATGACCTCATTCGCTCTCCGAAAGGATTTTATGCGGCCACTCACTTCTGCGAGTCATGTTTCAAGCCATTTCAAAATTTAGTGGATCATCGCTGCGAGTTTTTGTGCTACGTGAGCAGAAAGAGCTTCCAGGTGCCATGATTGCGATAGGTTATGTAACTCTTCCTCCAGTTTCTCCGCACATATAGAGAAGGGTTTATGTGCTCTGGTAAGAAATATGCTATTTAAAAGAGCTGTTCTATTTTATAAGCATTTGTAATTTTTTTAAGGAAAGCGGAATGAAGTGATTTTATTTATTTATTTTTATTTGTTTTTAGATATATCAATGTAGAAGGTGTTCTAAAGTGTTAGAGAGGAGAAAATGACCCAAAGAGCAATATAGATGCGGTGAGTTACGTTGCAAGAACTGCAAAAAGTATTTTCCACCGGGCCATCGATGTTTTCTGGATAAAGTTAAAGTAAAATATCCCAATCATAAGCTCATCTTCTATGATTTTGTGACGACACAAGTGACGGGTGAGCATTTTGTGAACTATGCCATTCTCCAGTACGCTGATGGTGCAGAGCGTGTATTCCAAGGAGTGGACACTCTTGCAAAATTTTGCACTTATGTGCTGTCTCCAGTACACAAGGGGTACACATTGATCACACATAATATGAAGGGGTTTGACGGCCAGTTTGTTTTAAGATGGTTGCTGGAAAGAGGATATCAGCCTAAGGTGATCCCGCACGGATCTAAGGTATTGCAGATTTCGCTGATCGCATTGAGTATCCGCTTCATCGATTCATTCTGTTTCATGACAAATGGCCCTATCCGAACTACCAAAAATGCTTGGAATTCGTGAGTTGGTCAAAGGTTCCTTCC